GATCCAAAGAGACTCTGGAGCTAGTGTGAAGTGCCATTGGCTGCTCTTCCCTCAATGTTCCCACACGGCACCAGTCATCTGGATCACGGCTCCGTGGGCCACTGCTTTCTCCTGCTCTCCTCGCCTGACGGATTAGGTGGTGATTGGCTCGGTGGCTGAGTGGTGCTGGATGCTCCAGGAGGCTCCTGATGGGCCCAGGGGGACACTGTGTGTGCTGCACAGGAGGGAACATCCTCAGGAGCTCTCCCACTGCAGCCAGGGCTGCATTCCAGCATGCTGGGAGCAGAGCCCTGGGTCTGCTAGGGTTGTGTGACCCAGGAATATTTTTGAGGTTCCAGGCAGTAAACACTTTGCTTAAATCCAAGTCTGTGACCTCTGTTTTTCCATGGCTTCAGGCTTCGCTGTAGCTCTGTCTTGGCATTGTGAGCACGTTACGTCTAGGTGCCTCCTGCCTTTCCCTGGTTTCCTTGCTGGAATTCAGCTAAACCTCTCCTAGAACAGACTCAGGAGCCAGCTGGTCCCTTTTCTTGTGGTGAGCTGACCCTGGCAGTGCTTTGTCACAGCTGTTCTCCACCCCCTGCCACACGTGGTGCTCCTCTGTGTCCCTGGGTGGTTCCTGCTTCACTGCTCCAAGTGTCCTGTTCCCTGGACCTCTTTCTATGGGCTGCTGCTCCCCTGGAACCTGCCTTCCTCTTGCAGGATTGGGGAAGCAGCCAAAGGTGGTGGTCTTGCATCTCACCTCCCTCCCTCCTGGACTCTGAGCCTGCCTCCCTCTTCATGCCTGGGACTCTCCCTCCCAGGGAAGTTTCAGGGAGATAGGGAAACCTCAGATTCTCACTGACCACAGTGGATCACAACAGGCAGCCACTGCTTGGAGGAGAGCAGGAGCAGCTCCCACTGCCCCTGCAGCAAGAGCCCACACCCAACCAGGCTTCCCCACATGCGATTTTCCAGGAAAATTTAGTCTGACCTCTGGCCACTCCTGTGGGATGTGGCGAGCCAGGCAGCAGTGCTGGAGCCTCACAGAGCTCTTGGCTGCTGTGGGATGGCTGAGCACCTCTCCTTGGGCGTGTGCCACTCCCCAGGGCCTGCAGGAGCTCCTCAGCCCAGGGAGCTGCACCCCGAGGGGCTGTGGGAGCAATCCCAGCCGGGAGCAGCACGAGCTTTGGAACAAACATACTTACGAGTTGGGTTGCAATAGCTCCAAAGGTTTATTTGTCTGCTGCCATTTATCAGGTGAGTGACGTGTGTGGCTCTGCTCCCTGCCCACACCTGCTGCTGCAGGAGGCACTGAAGTGAGTCCTCTGCCCCCTCTCCTAAGCAGCTGTGGGGGCTTTTAGCATTTCTCCATAGCTCCAGGGCAGGAAGACACTGTCCCACAGAAGTCCTGGGCAAGACTTGCCCTGGCTGCAGGCTGGGGGTGCAGCACTGCCCCATCCCAGGGGCTCAGAGATGCTCAGAGTGCCCATGCTATGCCCACGGGGCTGCTATTTCAATAGCAAAGGGCTGAAGTACCCAGTCTGGTGCCCAGGGAGCTGTTGCCCACCCAGCATCACCCGGGCATGGCTCTTCCTGCTGGAGGTGGTGGCAAAGCTGGGCTTGCCTGGGGTGGCCCCAGAGCCCCAGCTCGTGCTGCTGCCCTGGGCAGGAGGTGCCCAGCAGTGTGTCCCCTGGGGGGGCCCAGCACACCTCAGCAGTGAGCGAAGCTCTCCTCAGAGGTGTCCCGGAGGTCCAGGCCCGCCAGGGCTGGGGGCTGCAGGCAGGTCAGGTTGTTGTAGGTGTAGATGGGGACGTGGGTGTCGTCCCCCTCGGCCACAGACTGCACGAAGCGTGGCACCACCATGGGGTGCTGCAGGGAGAAGTCCCTCAGGCCCTTCAGGGAGCAGTTGCAGTGCCAGTTGTTGCCCCCCAGCCAGAGCTGCTCCAGGGCGAAGGGGGCGCACAGGAAAGCCACCGAGAAGGTCTCCAGGGAGTTGTTCCTCAAGTTGAGGTACCTCAGGCTGCCCAGGGGAGAGATGACAGTGTTGTCCAGTGTCTCCAGCTGGTTATGGGAGAGGTCGAGCCAGAAGAGTCTCTGGAGTGTGCTGAAGGTGTCCTGGGAGATCTCCAGGAGCTGGTTGGAGGAGAGGAAAAGGTACTCCAGGTTGCTCAGACCCACGAAGAGCTGCGGTGAGAGGTGGCTCAGCCTGTTGTGCTTCAGGTCGAGCTCCAGGAGCTCATGCAGTTCGCTGAAGCTCTGGTCTTCGATGAGGGAGATGGTGTTGTGCTGCAGGAAGAGACGCCGCAGGCTGGACAGGCCAGAGAAGGTGTTTGCCCGGATCCTGCCCACGCAGCTGTGCTCCAGGTGGAGGCTGTGCAGCTTGGTGACCCCCTTGAAGACAAAGTCAGGGAGGACCTTGATGCAGTTGGCAGACAAGTGCATGACCGCCACGTTGTACAGCCCCAGGAAGGCCCCAGGCCTGATGTCCTGCAGCTGGTTGTTGTTGAGGCTGAGCACCTCCAGCTGCCCCAGCCCCTCAAAGGTCCTTTCCGCCAGGCTCCGGATCCGGTTGTGCCCCAGCTGCAGCTCCTCCAGGAACTGGAGGTCTTTGAAGGTCCTGGGCCTCAGGCTGGCGATGGCGTTGGTGGACAGGCGCAGGACGTGCAGGCTGAGGAGGCCCAGGAAGGTTTCCTCATAGAGCGAGACCAGGCGGTTGTGGGACAGGTCCAGCCACCGCAGAGACTTCATGCCCATGAAGGCTCGGGGGGCGATGGCAGTGATCTGGTTGTGGTTCAGGTACAGCTTCTGCAGCTTCTGCAGCTTGACGAAGATGTTGATCTTGATGCCCTTGAGCGCGTTCCCGCTCAGGTCCAGCTCCTTCAGCTCGGTGAGGCTGCAGAAGAGCTGGTGCTGGAGGTAGGGGAGCTTGTTCCCGGCCAGGATCAGCTCCCTCAAGTTGGGCAAGTCGTGGAAGACCTTGTCAGGCAGGACCACCAGTGAGTTCCAGCCCAGATTCAGGTACCAGAGGTTGGAGAGCCCAGCAAACAGCCCTTCCTCCACCTTGCTGAAGTGGTTGTTGTTGAGGCTGAGGAACACGAGGTTCTGGGTGTGCAGGAAGGTATGCGGAGCCAGGTGCCTGAGGCGGTTGCGCTCTAGGCGCAGGTGGCAGAGGCTCCTGAGCCCGTGGAAGGCGTGCTGCTCCACGCTGCCCAGCTGGCTGCTCTGCAGGTCCAGGAAGTCCAGGGCGGACAGGTTCCTGAAGGCTGCAGCTGGCAGCGTGGGCAGGGTGTTTCCGTCCAGGCGCTCGGGCGTTGTGGGGCACGTCCTCGGGCAGCCGTGACAGGTTGCGAGCGCTGCAGAAGACGTTCAGCTCCTCGCTGTACTCGTCCAAGCTGCAGGCACAGGGGCTGGGGCAGCGCGGGGGGTCAGCGTCCCCCTGCTCCCTCGGGGGGTCTCCCCCCCCGGGCCCGGAGGCAGCGACCAGCAGCAGGGCCAGGGGCAGCAGCAGGGGGAGGCCTGGGGGGAAAGGGACACTGTCAGTGTGG